TTTTAATAGCTCTATCTGTAAAAAGTGTTCTATTACAGGGCTAATCTCTTCTCTGTCTTCCTTTCTCAAACAGTACTGCTTGACCCTAACTAGTTGTTTTCCTTCTTTAAGCCTAATTTGTACTGGGGGTGCATTCTTCGCTCTCCCTGGTATGTTAGAAGCTTACACCCCAGGAAATACTTGATCCAGTATTTTCCTGAATCTCATCTTCACTTTCAACTTAAGCCTCATTGGTTATTAACATCAGGCTTAACAATTCCATATATTGTTGGTCCTTAACCTCCAAAGTAATCTCTCCATTTTTGAATATTATTTTTGCTTCTAATTGTTCCAATAAATCTCTACCCAAAAGTGCTGATGGAGCATTGGACATATATAAGAACTTGTGAATTTCCCATTGTTTCCCAAATTTAAATTTCAATGGCCTACAAAAAATAAGCTCTTTCAAATTGGCCAGTTGCCCCCTTTACCATGACATAATCATCTGTTATCGGTATTAAAGCTTTATTTAACACCAAATATGTTGCCCTTGTATCTATCCGAAATTCCATTTCCTTTTCCTTGTTCCCTAGTTTCATTATAACCAGAGGGTCTCCTAGGGTAAGATCCTCCAGTCCACATCAGTCTTCTTTAACATGGGCAACCACCACCTCCCTTTTTGATCTCTTCTTTGTTCATCAGCTTTTCTTTGTTCCGGGCACTGGTTCTTCCAGCGTCCAAATCTCTTGCAGAATGCACATTGATCTCTCCTTAGCCGAGGTGGTCCCTGCCTTAGTGGCCCTTGTCCACATTTCCCTTTTTCTTCTTCCCTTACTACTGCTAATAATTTTTTCATCCCTTCTTTGCACTTTTCTTCCCAATTACTAAATATTCTCCATGCCTCTTTTAGCAAAGTCGCTAAATCTCACGCTGTCGGACCCTGTATCTTCTGAAGTTTGCGTCTAATAAACCCTCTAGATGTTGTATCCCTTCCTCAGACTCAGGATCAAAGGTTGTACAACGATGCATTGCATCCTGCAAATGTTCTAGAAATTCAGAAGGTGTTTTGGAGGGACCTTGCTTAATTGTATATAGGGCTGACCAGTTTATTGTTTTAGGAATTGCCCTTTGTACGAACTCCTGATAATCCTCTAGTCTTTCCATATCACTAACATCATTAGCATTCTGATGTGGATCCTGAAGAAGAAAGGCATCTCTCATATTACTCTGTGTTATTCTACAAGCATCTTCTGCTAAACCCTCAGCTACCTTTAAAACCAGTTGTTTTTCTGTTTCTGTTAGGGCATCCAACAACAGCTGGAGATCTGAGTAATCAGGTCGATGCTGTTTAATCACAAAACTTTAATTTCTTTGCAACACCTATCAGTTCACTCCTATAATGTTTAGCAATCTTTTTCCAAACCTCTAAATCCATTGTAGAAAAAGGGATTTTAACTAACATTGTCTTCCCTTCAGGACTTACTGCCTCCCTCAAGAATGCCTGTATAATTTTCTTAGTTTGTTTCTGAGTCCAAAATGCTATAGGATCCTCTGGAGTAGGCAGTGAACTCAGTGAACTCTTGTTCACTGTCGCTGCTGGGTAGTTGGAAAGATTAGGAATAGTCAAGGTGGGGAATAGAGTAGAAACTGGGGTTGAACTTGAAATAGAAGCTGGAATTGATTCAGCTGAGCTTAAAACTGGAGCTGGGGTTGAAATAGAAATAGCTTTCTTTAAAGCTGGAGCTGGGGTTGAAATAGTAGTGGCTTTAATTGGAGTGGGAGGTAGAATATGAGCTGGAATTTGGACAGAGGTGTTTAAGGGTGGAGCAAGAGCTGGAGTTGGAATTGAGGGTGAAGTCTTAGGGGGTGGAATAAGAGCTGGAGTTGAGATTATTCCCAAGTTTGCTGCCCCTCTCTGCCCCCCTTGCCTTCTAGGGGGGTGGTTCAAACAGATCCCCCAACTCTTGCTCCACTGAGTCAGCAGGGTGTACCTTGTCTGGGTGTGTGCAGTGTTGGTTTATGGAGCATGCACCTACAGCACCATTTCAGCCTCCCCCTACTAGCCTCATTATCTTTTCCAGGGCCAATACAAAGGGTTCAGAGGGAGCCCTGAGTCCACAATCCCTCTGCCACTCAGGGTGGTTCTGGAGGGAGAAAAACATGTCAGCATACGTCACCTCTTCCCATTTCTGTTCCCATCTCAAAAATAACATAAGCTGTAACAAAGTCTCATAATGTAGAGTTCCAGTTGGAAGCCACCTTACCCCCTCTTCAAACCTATAAAGTGGCCACCACTGTGTGGTAAATTTCACAAGGGTCTTTTTATTTTCTATCCCCCCATACCTTACTAAGTTCCTTCCAGTGTGCCAAAATACACCCTAAAGGACTACTTTTGGGGATCTCTTTACTCTGGTTGCTTCCCGTCACTCCCCTTCTCCTTAACAAAACCAGCACTCAACGCCAATCCTTATTACGTCCTCCTTTGCTTCTTGTCTCACTTCCACCCGAACCTGGCGCCACAGATTCGTACAGTCCTTTCCCAGTCTTCTTCTCACACAGCCTACCACTCGGGTACTAAATGTGACTTCCCACACAGCAGCTTTAAAATCTTTGATTCTAAATCAGCTCAATCAGGGAGCTGTGGACACTGGGCACGCTCTCTGTACCAGTTAGCAGAAGAACAGTACTAAGGTCCTGCACAAATCTGCACAAACACTGCAGTAACACCCACGCACAATGCCAACCTCTAGATGCACCAAAAGCTGCAGGAAAATTCCCACATATGCAAGTTACTCCATCTGCTCCTTCTCAACCCTAAATTCTCTACAGCCGATTGCTCCCGATCCAAAGCCACTAGTCCCCCAGCAGATGTCTGATATAAACCTTCTAAATATACTCTCTCATTTCCCCTGTCTATCCACCAGTTTACTGAACTCACAAACTCCCAGGAGTCGAGTCCAAACCACTGAAGAAAAGGAGTTCCTCCCATCTGTCTGGCCAGATTGGATTCTCAGACCAAAACTACCCCTATTGTGGTTCTAGCAATCAGCATCTACAAAGACAATCCCTGTACCTAAAACCACAAGTCAACTCTTATCAAAGGCTCTAAACAAACCAGTTTTACTACTTTGCACTCAACGTGTGACACTTACAACTTTTGACACAAGATGGCAGTGTTGCCTCAAAAAGCACCACAGCTCCAAACACAATTACAACATCACAATCTTACTATGCCCACAGGAAACACCTTGTGCAGTCTAACAATACACAAACACACTACACTAAAGCACTCAACATCTATATTTCAAATTCCATAAACATAGACACCTGAACAGCAAAGCACCGTCCCTATAATTTCTCAGAGTCTGAACCCTTTTAGTGTTAACACCAGGTGTTATAGTAAATTCTGTCCCCCATAACCTAAACACAGACACACACACAGTCACAGCAGAGAGAGGATTTTATTAAGGGTCATGCACCCCACTCGCCTTGTTTTTCCCCGGCTGTTTCAGTTGCCTGAAAATGGAACCATGGGTCCAAACTCTCACTTGTGTCGTGCGCTAACAGCACATCTCAAAAAACACTCTCACAATTGTTCTCGCAGTCAGGACACATTCACACAACAGCATAACAACTTTTGACCAGGATTTGCCCTTATGACTGCTAACCCCAATTGGTAGCAAACTGAGCCCTCTACAGCAAAACAAATGGCAAAAATCCCATTCTGTTAGCAACAAAAGCCTGAGCTCGGTAGGAAAGTTCAATGACTCTTTCTGCTGATAACCAGATTTCAACTGCAACTTCAGCTTGCAAGCACACTACAGAGGCACAAGTTGCGTGTGGGACTTCTCCCATGACTTACCAATGGCCTTTCTTGACCACGCATACACCAAAGAGGTCACTACTTAAAACTGCTTCAATTTTTAAACATACCGTTTTGTCCAGAATTTTAGTAGTCAGGAGTCCTTGTCTGCTGCTGGATGAGCTAGTCCAGGCAGTGGAGCCCACTCTTCCAGGAATATACTGGGGGTGCCCTGAGGGGGTCCATGTCCCAAGGTGGTCTCACAGCTGAGCAGAGTCTCCTCCTGGATGGCTTGCCAATTAAGTTGTTAAAACCAAAAATCACAGACAAAGACTCTCTAACTAATTAAAGTTAGAAAGTAGTACGTTTATTATGCCAGCGGGTGGCACGGGGAGGGGGGGGGTCATCTCTGAAATGCGTGACCACATCACACGAGGATTTTTGCCTTCTATTTATTTCCCAAAATAATATATATGCATAACCCCAGCACCTCCCATTCCTGCTTTGTATTAAAATGAGGTTATTAGTCCTTCAGTTCTTCTCTTGAATTGGGTTGGTGGTCTTGAACTGGGTCAGTGGTCCCAGGGATGAAGTCAAGAAGGTCTTTGTCAGGTCTCTGTGACTCTCTGGCACAATCCACGGCCCCCTGCTTCATGATGGATTGACATAGAGTTCAGGTGCTGGGCATTGTTCTACTGGTTTCAGTACGTTCCTATAATTGTTCACTTGCTCCACTTCCTTCTACAAGTGAGCTTATTTGTAATATAACAATTAGCTTTAGCTTAAGGATCTAATAATTATTAACCTATTGTTGGTGTATCTAACTGCAATATGAATTGGCTCTTACCCTTAGCTAAAATCTTAACCCTTTAAAATAATAATTCAGAACCAGACTACCAAAATGTAAAACTGTCACGTGGATTGTTTTTGAAATTTGATAAGAGATCTTGGGCAGCTTAATAGAATTTTGAAGTTGGTGCTGCTTTGAACAGAGTTTGGACCAAGTGATTGTTAGAAATTCCTTTGAACCTTAACTATTCTGTGATTTGCTAAGAAAAACACTTAACAACAGAGACATTATTTAAATGCAAAACATCCCTTGTAGATCTGAAAATGTTATTGGCTTGTCATTGTAAATGAATGTGTGACTCACCTCATCATAAGGTGTTTTTATTTAAAGAAACTCAATTTCTTTGGCTACCTTTTTCCATTTCTTTAGGCAGCAGAATGTCAGAAAAAGGAGTCCAACAATACTTCAGATGATGACTGCTCTGAGAAGGCTGAACTAAATGCACAGCAAGCATTCATTTTTGGGCAAAATTTACGAGATAGAGTTAAGGTAAACACATGTTTGTTCTCTTGACTAAGAGTTTATGAATATATATAAAATTAAAAGCTATGAACAAAGAAGAGTTGTCTGTTTAATAAAACTAGTCTTCTGGACATTTAATAAATGAATTCTGTTAAGTAACATAAGAAGCTTTTTTAAAAAAAATGCATCTACTGCAGTCATGAGTAACAGCTAAAGCTCAGTAGAATGTGGTGTTTTCTCTTACTTTTTGAATTAGAATGAAGTTGAAATGTGGTCCTAAGCTGTTCCCATGCTACCAAGACTTCACAGAAAAGATGGAAAAATAGGCTGAGCCTGGGGTTAAACTTGTGCATAGAATAACTGAGTTGGATTGTTAGTACCTCCCCTTGAAGATGGGTTTGTTCAGGTTTCCTAGCATGATAAAACAAAGTGTAATATTGGGACGTATCTTGTTTTATTGTAGAAAGCATTTGTGGATGAAATTTTGTCTTTAGGTAGAGTGAGTTGAAAATTTCGTAATTAAAATTATTGATACATACTTGTTCTTTTTCTAGCTAGGAGATGAAAGCAACGAAACTGCTGATGTGCAGAATGCTGGCCTTCTGACATCAGATATACCTTCTGCAACAAACTATTTTCTACAGTACATCAGTTCCAGGTGAGACTACAGGGAGACAGTTCTCCTTACTCTTTATTTTCCTTATCGTAAATTCTGTATGATTCTGCTCTTTATTGGATGCAGGGCTTAGACTGGGTCAGTGGGAACCTAGACTTCTGAAGAATGAGATGGCAATCTTCAGATCTGGGGGAATCCTCAACCATCTCTTCAAGGGAGATGCGTTTGATATTATTTATTTGACCACATCCTCACCAACACCTCTTCAGAAAACCAGAAAGCATGACATGAGAGGCCTGAAACCAAAAAGCATGACATTCTTCTCATGAATGATCAGAAACAGAGATCTGCACCGTATTTGTGTTGTTCAGTAGGTTTCATGTAAGATACAGATAAAAGGAAGAACAGTTAAAATTTTTCCATGATAGTAACCTTTTCAGAGTGGTCGGTATGAATAAATAGGAGCCTTACTGTGGGAGGTTTTTGAGAGAACTTCTAAAGAATAACAATAACATCCGTAACATCAGAAGAAACATGATGTATAGGTAAAGTGAGGCAGCCAGGAGAAAACTGCTAATCCTGTCTTACGTAGTAATGACCTCTGAACTGACAGCCTTCACTTGTGGCTAAGGTAGTGATACATGAAATCTGTATCTCTGTGAAGATGCTAGCTTAGTAGTGGTCAAAAAATTTAAGTAGTGTAAAGAATAAGAAAACAGAAGATACAGAGCTGTGAATTAATGGAAAAATGTGAGGGGAAATCCCACCAAGAGTGATGAAGCAGAGCAACATCTCTGCTCCTGGCATAAGCTGAAATTCAAATTGAGGCAAGGAAATAATTGTAGGAAAAGCACCAATACCTGCTTTCTTTGTCTTTATATTTGGCATTTTTAAGATCCTGTTGCTCACCATGAAGGAGGCAGTAGGCAGTTTTGCAGTCAATGAACTTTTGATGCTGAACTTTTCAGATGTTGTACCAGAGAGGTAGAGAACACCTTTGCCCTCTTGATGCCAGATCAGTGTCTTTCCAATAGACACAGTCAGACTTATTCAATCAGATTTGGCAGATAATAACTACAATATGTGGCCTTCAAATACCAGAATATTTTTTCATATTTTTCAACTCATATGACACCTACTGTCATTTTATTTGAGTCTTTACTTTGGGAAGATTTATTCTTGGTGAGTCAATTGCAAGAAATCTAGGTTTGAACTTGTCTTAAAAACAATATTGTCTCTAAGGGGAGTTGGCTCTGGTTTTCTGATGAGATGGCAAAGCATTATGGTAATCAACTTGTAAAAGGAAACTCCTCCCTTTGCATAACACTGTAAATTCTTTAAAAACTGTAAATATGCTAGGTGGCATGGCAGATATTGGTAGGCCACATTGAGTTCCCTGTCAAGATTTGGAGCTCAGAGCTGTGGTATTTAATTCCCTTAGGAGGTAAAGTTATCTTCCACTGAGGATCTCCTTTGTTCTAGGAATCTCCTTAATCAGAAGTAGCAACTCCATAAGTACAATTTAAAGGTTTGTTTGGTTTCACGTAGATGTGAGTCCCCATTCTCCAAACTTGGTGAAATGCACGTAGGCTTGATTTGGAATGGTCTGCTTCTGTATGTTCACTCTGTGAGCAAACTGGTGTCTTAAAAAGGTATGCCTGATGGGAAGGGACAGGAACAATAACTTTTTAATTCTTTTGTCTTTTATTATTATTTTATTCTTTTAAAAGAATAAAACTCCTGTCCTTCCTAAATAGGATTTAAAATCTGTTAATAAAAATACTAATGGGAGGAAGATGTTTATTCTGTAAGGAAGAAGTAAAGGCTGATATTTGATTGTGAAACTTCTTGGATAGTCTGTGGTATTGCAGCTAGTCTGATAAAAGGCATTACTTATCCCTGCTACCTTTGCTTCAGTTATGATCTTGCAAGTGCTTTTGTTTCCATTCTTTCCGTTTCTGAGAGAATTGATCTAAAGATATGTAGTAGTTCAAGTCTGTACATGTAGGATACAGTTTTAAAAAAAAGTATGTTATATGATTAGACAATAAGCCCTCACTTAGCATTCAGCATTGCTTTATATGTTAATAGTTATCTGAAGGGGAAGATTTTGACAGAGAAAAAATAATTTGTTGTCATTCTGAGAGAATTCTCGTTCTGTAAAACTAGAATGTGCTCTCATGTTAAGTTGGATTAATTTTTACCTAGGTTTGTGTCAACCAGTGCTTACTTTCTTAAAGACAGTGACAATCACTCACTTTCTGAGAAATTTTATTAGTAGAAAATAAAAAAGGTATTATTTTCTATCTTGTAAAACCTGGCTTATTTCTTGGTTTTTTTTCAGTGTAGAGAACTCTACGAACAGTGCAGATGCATCTAGCAACAAGTTTGTTTTTGGACAGAACATGAGTGAGCGAGTCCTAGTGAGTATCCACTATTTATATGTTGTAATTTTGCCAGCAGTTTGTTATGGATTCTCACCCAGGAATTTTGAGAGCCTTTAATTATACTTCTCACTTGAGTATGGGGTTTTTTCAGTCGTTTCCTTTGAAGATAACTTACTTTGAGTGCAGCACAGGAAGTTCATTATAAGCTATTGTCTGCCCAGCAATACTTTCCAGGATTTCCCTTTCAAACTCTCAGTGTAAGGAGATTCAGTGCCCTCTCCGTAGTGCATGTGGTTCTTGTGCCCAAGCATTTTATGGCACAGCTCGTTGCTTTAAAATGGCTATTGGAGTATAAGTATTAGAGGGTATTTTATGTTTGTCCTCAAAATTCAGAGCAGTTCAGTAATGTGACTCCCCCCAGATGGGATTTCAAGCCCAGTGGTAAAGCAGCTGCCTCAGGACTGAGGTATGATTCTGGAAATGCTGTTCATGATGTACCAACCTAAGGAATAACTTCTAGTACCTCACTGTTTCCTGCTGTTGTTTGTATTCCTGTGCTGCAACAAAATGGAAATGTTTAATGATGAGTGTTCAGACCTGTCTAACTACAAAGCTGGAGTTCAGTCGATTATGACATGAGTAGCTGTAGCTGAAATTGACTTGCTATGTTGAACAAAGCAAGTCAAAAAGCTTCAAAATAAGGGTTGAAATTTGGTATCAGTTCCAGGGAAAATAACTCAAACTGGTTTTTAGGGCACACTCCATTCAGTTCCTTGGCTAAGATAGTAGGATAGTTTTGACTGTGAAAGCATGTTGTCCATGAGATTCTTTTTTTTGCCATATGGTTTATAAATACTGGAGCTACCCTCAGTACTTGATCACTAGTCCTGTTTAGCAGAATTAGTGTATATTTTCTCCCTTCTGTTTACCTCCTCTTATTTCTGTGATAGAGCCCACCAAAATCAAATGAAGGTAGTACAGAGAGTAATAAGGAGAATGCTGCTACAGAGTCTGGGTCTGAATCGTCTTCTCAGGAGGCCACACCAGAAAAAGGTGAAAACCAAAATATTATATTAGGAATGGTAGTTAATCCTTTTTTAAATTACTGTATTTTTCAATATCCTGTTACTTTTCAAAAACATAAGATTTTTATGTTGCTTTTACTCTGTCTCCTGTAACCAAAGGTACAGGCTGGGTGTGGAAGTTGCTGGATGCTGTAGATCCTCTAATAGTAAACATGTGCAGGCTGCGCTTTCTTTTTCATTGTCAGTCTGTGGTTGTGGGAATATCTTCAATGGAATAAAATTAGAGGGAATTACCAGAACTGGTAGTAGGACTTGGTAGAGAACCTAGGAGAAATGTGGCAAACTTTTTTTAACAATTCTATTTCATTTCAAGTGACTGAATTTCAGAGTCAAATGTATGTTGCATTGAGTGGGTGTCCCACATGTTGCTTGAACTCAGAACTGGTTGCTGGATTCTATGACTTCAAATTGTCAAGATATTACAGAAATTCTGGGAACCATGGGTTTTCTTAAGTAAACTGCTTGCAAGCCCAAATGGAAGTAGAAAATTAAATGCACTGTCCATGTGTAGGCACAGCTGTATGGCTAGCAAGAGTATCAGTACTGCTGGAGCATCTACACATAAGCAAGTGTCCATGCAAAGGTTTTGAACTATTGCATGTATGGATATAATTTCTTGAGAATGTATCTATTTTGTTCTTTATGCTTGTAAAACAAGTATTAAAAGACAAGCTTTAACTTCTGCTTTAAATTTCAGTAATTTTTAATGTGTTCCATTAAAGTCTGTTTTCTATACATTTCAAAGGGTCTCAGAATTCTGGTGTACTTGTGTGAGACTTTTATATATCTTACAAAATTTTATGATAATCATTCTCAGACGCTCAAAATGTTGTTCAGCTAATAATATTTCAGAATCACTGGCAGAGTCTGCAGCAGCCTATACTAAAGCAACAGCAAGGAAGTGTTTATTAGCGAAGGTAGAAGTGATTACTGGGGAGGAAGCTGAAAGTAACGTGTTACAGGTAAGAAACGGATAGAGGAGCTTTGAGTTTGTGGGGATTCATATGGATGTCTGTCACAGTAACAAGTCTACAGATCGGTTGGATTTAAATCTATACAGGGGATCCTCAGCCAACCCTGTCCTTAGCTTAGATGCAAGCACACCACTGGCCAGAGATCTGGGCAGAGAGAGATCCCAACCAATCAGCTGTTTAAAGCAGGAAGTTTCAAACCCCTTATATCAGCAGGCCTCCATAATAAACCATTGCTCTTGTTGCCTGGATCTCTGAGAGTTTGTGTCGTCCCTGTCTCTGACCCCACGTAACAGATGTCCAGTGCATGCACACCATCTGATTCCCTACAATTCAGCCTTCCTCTACATCTCTAATGTATTTTCTTGTGTTTAAATGCAAATTTAGATATTTATATCAGATCCTTATTTATTAACTTGTTATCCATTGTTTCTTAATTTCCTCTTTCTGAATAAATTTTAGCGTATAGGCCATCCAGATGATTCTTAAGCATACTTTCCTGAATCCATCGCATAGAAGCTTTTATGTTCTGTGAGACAATTATTTGAAGAAAATTTAAATTAATTAAATATTTTAAGTTCTTTAATTGTTGTACTACTGAAGATTTTCTAAGATTTGGAATGGACTATTTATGCCAGCAGTCTAGTTTTCTTGCAAAATAGAAACTGTAACACAAACACTCAGGAATTTGGTTTGAGATACTTAATTGAATTAGTGATGTTGTAGAAGGATATTTGGTCATGACTTAGACTGCTGATTTTAATAGAGATATATTTAACATTGTAGTTATTCATTAACTTAAATATACTTACTAACTCTAGTGTATCCTTAAGAAAAACATGCAGGGTTTTCATATAAAATGAAGTGGTATATGTATTTTTTCCCATCTCTCTTTATACTCCAATTATAGTTTAGTTTTTTTCCTTGAGATATTGTTTCTCAGCATTTGAATTGTGTTATTTTCAAGGATAACTTTTTTATTCTTACAGACACAATGCACTATTCTTCTGAGACCAAACAGTTGCACTATCAGTATCTAATGCCTATCAGTTACCTTACAAAATGGTACTCTATAATGTTTACCTTCTTGGACTTCTTTTTACCAGACATAAATGGTCTTTAAATGATTCTTCTGGTACACCTCTGTTTCTATTTAATTCAGAAATGTCTGGGTGTTTCACATAATTGAACAAGACACTGAAGAGATAAGAATCCTGTTTCACTTAGGAAAACTACAACTTTTGGCAGTTGTATACTTAATAGAGGACTGACTTGCCTGAATATGTTGTAATTTAACAGACCTCTTGCTTAACTTTAATTCTTTTTTTCTTGTGAAATGTAATGCATTAAAATTCCAAATGGGACTTGTACAGACAGAACTAGATGTTTTGGCATGAAGAAGATGAGAAATGGAGGGAATGGAAATGGAAGTATCTTTTCCACTTAGTGCATGCTCATCTGTGGGGAGCTTGAGGGGTGATGGTTTGAGGTATAAAGCCCCAGCAGTAACAGTGAAATTGGATTAGAGAGGGCGATATAGAGATGTTTGGCATGGAAGAAAATGGGAGCTTGTAGGTGAAGATCCTTCAGTATTCCTACTGTTGGAAAAAATACATACACCTTTTAAATTTTATAATGTCTGAACCCTCAGTTAATAACCTCAGTTATTAATGACCTTGTGTTGTTCAGGCTTTGATAATGAATCGATAATGAGCTAGCATGTTTGTTCATCCTTTGCTTCCTTACAGGAAGAATTTTGCTTTGCTTTCATTATATTTACTGGGTCTCCCCAGCAACAAATAACATATTCAGTGGTGCAGTGTGTACCTAAGGCTTTTAAAAGAATTGACTGATATAAGTCAGTCTTCTATGACATTAGGTTTCCTCTGTGAAAATTTATATATTACCTGAAAATTACTTGTTGTTTTGATCTTGAACTCTCTTATTCTTTCAGAATGTATAGCTTCTTTTAGTAAAACTTGATGAAAACAGACAGCATATTTTGAGAAATTTATTGCAAAAGAGAGGATGACTGTTTTGATTTCCACAGCTACAAACAATTAAAAATTCCAGTATGAAATCCGAATATTTTTTACTCAACTGTAGGTGACTAAGAAATATATTATTACTTCAATCAACCACTATGCCCTAGACATATTTTCTATTACAGATTCAGTGCAAGCTGTTTGTATTTGATAAAAGCTCTCAGTCTTGGGTGGAAAGAGGTCGAGGACTCCTGAGACTCAATGATATGGCCTCAACAGATGATGGAACATTGCAGTCTCGGCTGGGTAAGAGGAACCAGGGGAAATGAGATACTGGATGACAGTCATCCTGTTTTCATAAGGTTCTTCCTTGACACACAGCAACATTCAGTTAAGTTTCTAATAGCTCCAGCAACTCAGAAGCAGTTTGGACCTTTTCTTTTGCTTCAGTTACTGAATACTGCCTCCAAAGAGAGTATCTTCATACCCTTCTATTGCAGCAGATGTTCCAGTTACTTTTTCCCCAATAAAAGCAAGCCATATTTAGTAACTAGAATATTTGCCTAGAAATTTATGGTAACATCATTCAGATCTGGCTGTTTTGGATGGGTTGCTTGTGATGAGGGAAGTCTGCTTGAATAGTGTACAGTTGTTCAGGCTGGCAGGAATGTGCATTAGCCTGAGATCATCTGCTCAGATACCACTGCTGAACTTTAATGTATTAACATATAAGGCTTCAGACTAAATAGCTTTAGATATGACTCATAATCTTCAATAGCCTCGTTGCAGTTTAAACCCAGGCAGCAGCCAAGCCCCTTGCAGCCTCTTGCTCACTCTTTCCAGCAGGATCAGGGAGAGAACTGGAAGTGTATAAAAGTTAGAAAACTCCTGGGTTGAGATAAAAGCAATTCAATAAAGAAAGCAAAAGTGGTGCATGCAATTTGCAAACAAAGCAGAACAAATTAATTCACTGCTTCCTCTGGGCAAGCAGGTGTTCATCCATCTCCAGGGCAGCAGGACCCCATCATGTGTAATGGTGACTTGGGAGGAGAAACACCATCACTCCAAATGTCCTCCCTTCCTCCTCTTCCCCCTGCTTTATATCCTGAGCATGGTGTTTTGTGGTCTGGAATATCCCTTTCGTTCAGTTTGGGTCACCTGTCCCAGCTGTGCCTGCTCATAACCTCCCACATACTTGTCACAGCACAGCTGGTATGTAGCTGGACAGATAAATCTGCCCATAAGCTGAGATTCAATTCGGCTTGACTGGTTGGTTAGAGAAAAAAAGTCCCTAGGTGAGCAATGATAGGATAGATTTGAACTCAAACAGAAAATTCCAGCCAATTCCATTCAATCCTGAATGCAGACATATAATTGCACAGCTAGGCAGTGCAGAGATCCCGACCAATCAGTTGTCCAAGTGTGGGAAGCCCCTGTAAAAGGGGACACCGAGCAATAAACCGAGCTATTTGTCACATGATCATCGGTAATTTCTATTGTACCTGTTTCCAACCTATGACCATAATGTCTCATCCTCCTCATCAGTGTAGTAGTATGAAAAGCAGAAAAGACTTTATTTCTGTGCAAGCACTGCTCAGCAGTAACAAAAACACCTCTATAATATCAGCTGTATGTTCCACACAAACCCAAAATAAAGCTCCATACCAGTGACTGGAAAGAAAGTTAACTCTACCCCGGCCAAAACTCACACAAAGCCTACATTCTCCTCATTTACAGTTGTGACAAAAGCCTAAGAGGGCTTATTTGTAAAAAGACTGAAACCTTGTACAGTAACAAGTGTCTTGACTGTTTTGAGCTTCCTGATGTATCTTTTTCCACCTAACTGATCTTCTAACTTGGCTTTAGTGATGAGGACTCAGGGGAGTCTCAGGTTAATCTTAAATACCAAGCTCTGGGCTCAGATGCAGATCGATAAAGCCAGTGAAAAGAGTATCCGGATCACCGCCATGGATACAGAGGACCAAGGAGTTAAAGTTTTTCTTATATCAGTGAGTACTGTGTATGTCTTAACCATCATACTAAAGTTGGTGCTTACTTAAACTGTAGCTGAGGTAGCATTCCATTTTTATTTGCACCCTACACTGTCTTAACATCACCCCTGCCCCAAAGACAAGACACTTGGCAGATTTGCTTGTCTAAAAAGTCTTGCTAGTTGTGAACAAATGCCACATCAAAGGCTGCCCTAGGAAGCCAGGTTGTTCAAAGCACTGCCCATGGAGTCATGGGGATCTGCTTCACACATACTGAGACTCTAACTATAGTGTTTCATGCAGATTCTTTTCTGATTTAAAAAAAAATTGGCATTATTTAATAGATTTTATGCAGTAGTTTAACTAAAATTAGATCTAGTGGAACTTTCAGCACAGGGAAACTGTCATTGTCTGCAGTGTGGGAAGACGAATAGGTGCCCACTGAAAAGGAAACACTAAGGAACATCATATTAGTACTTAAGGTTTACACATTTTAAATTTGATTTTCCTTTGATGCGGTGTATTAAAGCAGTAACAGGATAGTGAAAGTGGTTTCTGTGCTTACTAAATGGGGAACAGCAATCGCAATCAGAATTACTAAAACACTTGAGATCTGATCATACAGTCAGCAAGGGAGAAAGGTCATTCCCTAATGCCAGCTAAAGCACTAACATATTTGGAGAGGTCTGAGAACACTCTTTTGATTTAGACTGATTTTACACAAGATGCAAGAGAACAAGTGTCTTGCAAAAGAATTAGTGTTCCTAGGGATCAGAAATTGAGAGCATTTCAGCAAATGGTCAGCTTTCCCTGTGACATTAGGTTTGTAGGCCTGGGATCTGGAGTCCCAGAATTGAACTTAATGATATCAAATATGCATTGATGAAGAAAAATAAGTGAAATTATTGGATAAGTTTTTCTCCATGTTTTTCTAGTTTTGAATGTTTTGAGTTAATCTGTCATCAGGTTACTCACTCTTGATTTTAGTATTGATATAAAGTGTCTTGTTTGGAATTACTTTTTCATTTCAGTTTATTGCAGGGGAATTTTGCAGATACAGAGTTCACGCATCCAAGTGTCAGATGGGGTGGAAACTATTTTTTATTAAAGAATTTGGGGGAACTATTTCTTATGAAAGAATTTGACAGGTTGTCAAAAATGCTTCCCTCTGAAACAGAGACTGTTCAAAAATTTTTGAATAATTGCCTGTCTGTTCATTGAGTTTTCTCATTATATCTCATATCGAAATTTTATGCCAGTTCCTCATGAAACAGTTGGCTTGATTATGATTAACTAATGTGTGAAGTTGAATTATTGACTGGCCAGCAAAAATCTGCAAGATTTTAATTGAAGGTCTTCTTAATATGAGCTTTTGGGAGGTGTCAGGAAAGCTATGTGATTTCTGTGTGAAGAAGGCTATATGAGATCAGCAAATACTGGGTATGTTAGCCAAAGAAAGTTGTAACTAAGCAGAGGAATATACTCTCACCACCAGAGTTCTGTATATCTAATGTCCTGCTGCGTGTAGCACAGCCCATTCTGACTGGTTTGAAAAACACTTTATGAGAAAACTAAAAAGTATATTGTGAAATTTGGCATGACTGCTGTGTATTATGTCAGCAGTGTTTTATTGTGTTATAATTCCATGCACCTTTTTTTTTATTTCTGAATATTAAAAAATGCAGGCAAGCTCTAAAGATACAGGGCAGTTGTATGCTGCATTGCACCATCGGATCTTGGCCTTGCGCAGTAGAGTGGAACAAGAGCAAGAAGTCAAGAATGTAGCCCCTGAGCCAGAGGTAACGCAGTCAAATGAGGAAGACAGTGATGATGATGATGTCATTGCACCTTCAGGATCAGTTGGAAGTGGTAAGTAAGAAAGACAATGGTGTTTCCTGTTTACCATGCATTCTTCTGTGTAATTTCTTAAGGCAGTCTGTGCTCTTTGTGTATGTCTATGGAGTAGGATTATTGCATGGCTTTCCTTTTTGAGCACAACTACTCCTTGCTTCTTCTCCAAACTGGTAAAAGGCCCCTGTGCTGCCTGTGAGTTACATCCCACAGTTTAGTAGAGGTTTTCTGTGCTTTTTATCATTTACAGGATTTCTAAGGGTAGTTCTGAGTTTCATTTTTACTTTCATCATGGCCAGGAGTTGCACATGAAACCTGAGTTGACTCAGAATCAGTAGACAGCATCCAGAATGACCTTTCGGTAGGGAGCTGTTTGGAAAGCAGAAGGTTTACAAAGGGGCATGGAAGGAGTATAATTTTTTTTATTGCGCATGAGGAGATCATAATTTAAGAAAAATACTAGTCTTCAGTTTGAGGAAGGCTTCCTTTTGTACTCTCAACTTGGAAGTCATCTGTATTTTGCTTTCTTGTGGCTGAGAACATAGAGCCTTTGACAGTCCTCCATCCTGATTCACAGAAGGGGAAAAAAAGAGGAATGAATATGAACAAAAGCAGTGGGAAGATTGAAGAGCTTGGAAACTGAGCTTTTAGGTTTTTGGATGCTGCTGGGATTCCTGAACTAGATTAGTCAAGAACATAAAATTCTACAGTAGACAGATCTTAGTCTGGAGAAGGCCATATGCAAGGTGGGAGAGGAGGAATTCTACGGTTTTCATCTCTCATTGAACACCTGAATCTGAGACTTACGTAAGCTACTTGGGATGGGTCTCTTACTGTAAGGCAAGAAACAAAAGATATTTCTTATGACCAAGAACTATTTTTATTGTTTCAGGTCCTAATGATGAAGGTGATGGGCAGAACGTTGGCAGCACATAGCAGATGTGAGCCGATCTGCTTGCAAGGCTGCTATGAACACCATCTTGCAGGCATCTCTGGATACCCCAGGCCAGCAATTCTTTCAGGCGGTTTTGAAAGCTCCAGGACTTAAGAACTGTGCATCTCTGTTCTGTTTGTTTGGGTTTTTGGTCTGGATCAGTAGATTCCACACAAAAAATAGCAGACTTGGAAACTACCTGAATGTGGTTTGGGACGTTGAAAGCTCATCATATTGATGAGCAAAAAAAAAAAAAAAAAAATCCAACCCCAAAACAACATAAACACAAAATGCAACCACCCCCAACCATTTCCCCTCTTCCTTGTAATTAAAATGGCACATTACAGCTTGTCACGTCACAGCTTTTCATTGGGACCTTTTGGCTGTTTCTTCAATAGTTCATGTCTTGCAGGTCTCCAAGATAGAACTTTTCGATATGGTTCCAACTCGAATTCTGCTTTTATAACCCCTACTCCCCTTTACGCAGGGAAACACGGTCCTCACTAGCTCCTATGCTCACTGGCTGCCCTTTTGGGTTCCTTTTTTTTTTTTGGACTGTAGATGGGGCAGGTTATGTTTTTACCTTTTAATCCCAACATAGGTTGTGGATGTGGACACCATTGTTTGCTGTCTAGTGGGTTTGTAAACAGAAAGAAACAAAACATTGTGATTCACCAGAAAAGCTTTTTTAATGCGATAAGAGACTTTAAAGTCTGCAGGACGTTTTGCTAACTCCTTTTTTCTTCCCATTTCATTATTATTTTTGGGGATTTATATTGTGGTGAGACTTTTTTATTTTAGTTTTTCAATAAGATGCTCTTGTGTGTTAAAAAAGTGAAACTATTGTTTTGTACTGTTCTTTTCTGTTACTATTTAAGGGAGAGCTAAGCCACTATATATGATAGATGTTGCATACAATTTTTCTTAGAAAATTTTGTTGTGGCTACAGTAAAGTGAAGGAGGCATACAGGTTACACCTTCAGAAAAGTTAATGACAAAACAGCTGTTAGCCCTTGGAAGAATAAAATAGGCTCATGTAATGAGCTCTGCCAGCCATTAAAATAAATCTGTATAATAAAGCAGCTCTCATTTAATGGCTTGATTCAACAAGCCATTTAAGCACTTGCCTGACTTAACTGTATGTGAATAATCTTACTGAAGTCAATGCAACTCTTCATGCTTAAAGTTGAGGACCTTTTTTTAAATCTTGCTGAATTAATGGCCTTAAATAGAAAATTTAACTTCTAAACCCTTTTTGTCCCTGTTCCATTTCCTGAAGTCTTGCAGCATGAAGAAAAAGGTAATACTCCCAGCCTTGAGTAGTTTGGGCTGAAGGTTATTGTATTCTGTTCCACCACAAATAAAAGCAAAAACGTGGTTTTCTGTGTGCAATTCTGAAGTACTCCTACTGTAACAATAAAACAATAACTTTTTTTTTTTTTTTTTTTTTTTTTTTTTTTTGCTTTGGGTGTTTTTTAATCATTTGAGCCTTTTATGTGAAAGTTGAGTTTTATTTTCTTATTGAAACCTATGGTATGTTCTTGTCCAGCAAGGTTGGAATTTGGTAGTCACCAGGTCACTTTCACTTTAAATTCCCCAAATTGTTCTATTTCCTTTATAAATAGTTTGCTGATAGATAATTTCTGACTTGCATGCTTGCTCTTTTGTAGGTTAACAATCTAAAATGGCATCACCTAAAAGAAAATGAAAGGGGAAGAAGCATTTGATGTAGCATGAATTGAAAACAGAAACCCAGGTTATAGCACAAAATCAACTTTGAAATTTTGTATTCAAATAGTAAAGCAGTCCATATTGCTTCTATTTTAATGAAACACACTTTTCACTGGCAGTCAAGAACAAGTTTTCCCCTGTTTTCTGTTGTTAATCATCACTGAAGACTGATGCTGTTGGGGCAGAGGGTGCTTTCCCTTTTCCTGATAGCCAGTTGAAGGAACATTTGTGATTACTTTTGTGGAAATTGGAAAGGGCTAATTGAAAGGGCTGTGCCACTGCATCTTGAGCTCTCTGGATTGTCTGCTCATGCCTTCTTGCATTTTGGTTTTCTTTTTTCCTCCTTAGGGTTATGGGGGTTTTTACCAATGAACAGACCTGTTGCTGCACTCCCTACTCTTGGCATGCTTCAACAGGAACATGGCAGATTTCTTAGTACCCACCACACAATTGTTTCTGCATCACAAGGTCTGGGGACTTTAGAGTAAGTGATCTGCATTTTCGATCTGGGATCTTTTTACATTGTTGAGATACTCAGATTTAAACTACTCTTTTCAAAAACCCTTGCACCATAAAGCTGTTTCTTGTCAGCAGCTTGTTCATAAGGAAAATTAATAAGGTGTCTTGGCCCGCACGGCCTACTTTTGTGAAAACAGGTATTATTTCCTGGTCCCAGGCTCTATGGTGTCCATGCTGAGTCTCACTTTGAAGTGTTTTACCTAACATGCAATTGATGGTGCATGAAGATTCAGAAATATTGAATAAGCATGCTTGCTTTGGGGTTTGATGGTACACAATCACTTACAGCTTTCTAAAAATTTTGGCAACTATTTACTGATGTAGATTTTATTTTTAGCTAGAAGCTTTGCATAAATGTTTATAGTGAAGGCAGAAATGTTGCTGTGCATCCCGACAGAATTGTGTTGCTGTGCATCCCAACAGAATTGGCAGCGGGTTGAGTTCAGGCCCTGCCCAGCAAGATACAGTTAGCCAAAGCAAAACCCTGACTTAGCTCTCTGCTTTAAGCCTTGGTAAGCCAATGACAGGCAAAACTGGATAATGCCCATGTGTCTCAAAAGATCTATGTAAGACTGTCATATCAAAATGTACATGGGAATTACATTAAAACCTGTATCAGCAAGCAAGCAAACAAAACACCCTGAGCCCTGCGTTGTGTTTCCTGTACCAAGCAGCGGCTGTTCGAGGGGAGGGTAATGTTGATGAGCTCTGCTGCCTTACAGCAATCTTCCCCTTGATCGTGCTTGTGCTCCATCTTTCCCCTTAGGCCTCTTGTTAACTTTTGTGTGGTGTTGACAATTCCTTATAGCCTGTTGGCTGCTGACCCACACAGGTACAGCCTTTCAGGTTTCCAAGTGGAAAAAAAAATACTGAAGAGTGTAGTAAAGTTGAACATGCTTGCTGATGACTCAACAGTGTACTCTGGCAACCAGGATGGCCAACCATGTCCATGGGGGGGCATCAGGCCAATTGGGTGAGGGAGGGGATTGTGTCTCTCTGCTCTGCACTGGGGTAGCGTCACCTTGAGTTCTGGGGTGAGTTTTGGGCATCACAGTATAAAAAAGACATTAAGCTAGTAGAGGAGTGTCCAAAGAAGGGCCACAAGGATGGGGAAGGGTCTAGAGGGGAAGGTGTATGAGGAGCTGCTGAAGGCACTTGGTTTGTTCAGCTTGGAGAAGGGGAGACTAAGGGGAGATCTCAATGCAGTCTTCAACGTCATGAGGGGAGGTTAGGGGAAGGTACCAGTCTGTACACTGATGACCAATGATAGAGCTTGAGAAAACAGCATGAAGCTGAGTCAGGGGAGGTTTAGCTTGGATGTCAGGAAGCTTTTCACCCAGAGTGATTTTTGAACTGGAATGGGCTCCTCAGGGCAGTGGTCACAGCACCAACCTGAATTCAAGAAGGATTTGGACAGTGCTCGCACTCATAGGGTGGGGTGCCCTGTGCAGGGCCAGGAGCTGAATTTGATGATCCTAATGGGTCCCTTGCAACTCATCGTGCTCTGTGATTCCATGAAAATGTTGCTAGAATGGTGATGTCACTGAAACCAGAACTAAGCCTCTTAGCCATAAAATGGCAAAAAATGGGAAAAAAAAAAAAAAAAGACACCCACAGGAAACAAACATAAACATTAAGGTAAGAGAATGTTGTCATAGCAACATCTTTCTGTAGTCCAGTTCCCTGTTCACTGCTTTAGAAAAGACAGGGCAGGAAATGATCTCAATAAATGAGTCCTGAACCATCCTGCACTAGAACTAGGGTGGGAGGTGACCAGATTGTTAGAAGCCTGCAGGAATAAAAACCGTCCAACTTTGTAATGGCTCCTCTTTGTTCCCTGAAGTATCAATTGATGCCATTGCTCAGATATTACTGCCATTAAATGACTGCTCCTAACACATCCCATTATGCAGTTCAACTGGTCTCTTGCTCTCCCAGTGAGTGTATAAAATGGTTTATTTACTTTCTAGAAACATGTTACATATTTCAAAATTTACCATGTTTCCCATAATCTTCTCTAGTTTTAGGAATTCCAGTTATGATAATTGCTATAATTTGTCATACAAGATTTTATTAAACTGACTTTTCACTGTGTGCTTTTTTTCCCGGTGTTACTTGGTCTTTCTGTCCACTGACTGGCTTAAATTGAACTCTGGTCCATTCTGTGGGTAGCAGATTTTCAGACAGGATGTTACAAAGATGGTTTAATTTTTTTAAAGGGTTTCTTTTTTTTTTTCCCTCCTGTGAAATCATCACAGACCAACACAGGTGCAAGAGAGAATTGCTAAATCGGACAGTCAGCCTTGATTCTTTTTTGCTAGGTGAAAGTACAGGTATCTCATTAAGAAATGCTTACAGATAATTTCTGTAAATAAAAGTCTCATTTGAAGGTAGTATTCAGAGCTCCCTTTTGGCTACCTCCTTTCAAGGACTCCTTTCCAAAACTTGTCCTATTGTAAAGATACAAAAGCTGAATTTGTCACTGCGAACACTGGTAATTTTGTTGCATGGGTGTGCAGTGAATGCCTTTTTTCCAGGGTTATCTGTGAATTAAATGTGGGGTTATTTTAAATGAACCACTTGTGATCAAATTCTGGTAGCTTACCTTCAGCTTCTAATGGAACTGGAAAAGTCAAATGGTGATGTTATGTTTGATTTCCTCTGTTCCAGAGACCAGGAGGTGTCTTTGAGCCCCCACTGCAGGGTGGGGGGTCTGCTGCTGGTAACTGAGCATCCATGTGCTGACTGTACCCTGTCCTCTGAAAAGCAGCTTGCTGTCTGTAGCCCATTTAGCAGACAAGATAGATTCCTGTTCCAGAGAATTCAGAGCACAAATTCTGCTGCAGCCAGGAGATCTATTGGACAAGGCCCTACAGAAAGTTCCTGAGAGGGAGGGATGGGGTAATGTTTTGAATGCAATTTGCTGATGGATGGTTCTGCCATTTTTGAAAAGGTTTTTGAGATAATAGGAACCCCAATTGTGAGAAATGACACTCACTTAAAAAATTTAGAAGGTTTATTAAAGCCTTATCAAAAAGTACAACAGAAGACTGAATAGAGCAAATAATACAGTGCACCAGGAGCAAGGGATTCTATCACCATCTGCTCATCCACACAATGGATGTTCTGTCTTTTAACCCGTTAGTCACTCCCAAAGTTTTGTCAATCGACTCCTTCTTCACTGTTCAGTGGTGGAGATCATTTTCTTACATCTTGATTGGAGGTCAGGTGTTGCCATAGTAACACGTTAGTCCATCCTCCCAAGTGTCTGGACTACCCAGGCCATCCTGTGATAACAGTGCAAGGGGGGAAAAACATAACTATACGTCTACAAAATTTCTCTTAACATATGCTTAATATTTGCTCTTTAATTGTGAGAATCAACCATCACATTGCTCATCTATAACAAACCCCCCCTTTTCCTTTTCTATAAGTCATTTGGCTCAAACAATTAACTTAAAAATTTTTTTTCTCTTGAATGAGTCATACTAACATCTGTTGATGTGGGCAAGGACAGTGAGAACTGGAGAAAAAATCTCAGGTTTTTCCTAGACACACTTATTTGGAATGGACAAAAGGACATCACAGAGGTCCGGTATGGCTTTGAGTCCCATCTACCTTGCCTATTGGGTTCCTACCCAGAGTAGGTGAATCTTAGTGATGAGTACAGAGCCCAACTCGGTCTTGCCCTCTAATCCCTTTTGTATTAAAAGACAACTGAGGAATAATAAAGGTCCAGTATGGCCTTTTTTGCCCCTACCATACCATGCCTATGGGGTTGCTACCCACATCAGGGCTATGGAATCTTCTTGGTAGTGAACAAAGGGACCAACCTGGTCTTGCCCTCCATTCCTTGTCTTACTTTACTTATTGTTCTTAAGGAGGCTGTCCCATTACCTCTTGTGGTCCCTTGTGTACTTTCCCTCAACAGATGCTTGTAATTTCTTGCCCATTAAAACACAAAACCAGTTCTCAAGCTGTCTGGTGGAAACTTGACTCTACTCTTTGGGCATCTTGTTGTTTCTCTTGGTCTCTGCTTGAGAGTCAATCTCATTTCACCCGGTCTGGATGTTAAAGTCCATTCTTTGGGTTCTTCTACTGGGCCTTTAACTCTGTTAGCATGAGTCCATCCCCGCTCTGCA